ACCACCCCTAACGAATAAACTTTCAGAAAAAGTGCTGTCATTGGAAATCAGAGCAAAATTGCCGGGAGAAAAATTGTCCATAGGAAGAAAAAATAAACATCATTGTAAAACCAATACGTTACTCGCCCCGCTCAGAATTAAAGTGTGAGAGTTATTTATTTTTATAAGCGTTTAAATTTATGGCGTCGATATTACTTTTTTCCGAAAATGGTAATTATTACGGACTTTCAAAATATATATAACCGTACTTTGCTCCGAATCCTTTTTCGTTGGTAATGGTTTATCGTTGCTTACAGATATAAATTAAACACTTTTATGTATCATACCGTTCCAACTTCCTACTTACAACAGTGAGCCCAGTATCAGCTCTTTTTTGATTTTTTGTGAGTCAGTGAAAATGAACATTTTAGACGCCCAAAACTCTCGCCGAATAAATCTGATTTTAAACTCTCCATACGCAGAAATCTATTAACCAAATCGAGTGTCAGAAACGTTCTTTTTTTCTAACTGTTGCGTCGGTATATTATGAAAAAAAAAAAAGTGTAGGTATAGATATATATGTGTATTATAATATATTATTACTCATGTTGTTACACAATAATATGTAAGGGACGGCGTATTATATTTTATTATAAATATGTATATATATATATATATGTATAAAAAAGGAAAACGAATATGAAAAACATCGCACGCGCGGGAACCTTGACATTGTTTAAAAAGCTCACGTCCCTATATGTATATTGTATATTATACGCGTAAATGATCCCGAGTTGCATTTTTTTTTTCTCTCCGCGAGCACAATGCTCGAGCGGTATAATAATAATATGGGGGCGTGTATATATAGGTAGTGTTCGTATATATTTCCAAGAATGCACAATGGCGTGCCCGACCGGTCCTTAAGTATAATTATTATTGTAAACCCTTTGTTCATGCGCTTGCAGTCTCACGCTCGGGATATGACCATGAGTCCCGTATACGAAAAATCGGTTCCTTTAGTACAGTAGGCGAGTTAAACACCAAGAGCGCTAGTCGTTTTATTTCAGTGTTGCGCAAAAAGAAGTTTGCCAGCTTTTATAAAAATACGGGTTTAAAAAGCAATATTAACAGAAAAAAAAGGAGAGAGAGCTGATACTGGTGACATGTTTTCCGCTGTTCTAGGCGAGAAATTGTGAATATAGGATACGTAAAGTTATTTAATGTATACCTGTAAGCAACGGTAAACCGTTTATAACGATAAACGATTCGGAGCAAAGTTCGGTTATACATGTTTTAAATCTGGAAAAGACCTGACGTTTCCGAAAACTTATACTAGCAATTTCCTACAGCAGTAATGGCCTATCCATGAGCAGTTTCAACTCTTTTTTTTGATTTTTCCACGGATAAAAATTAGGCTTACAGTCGAAATGGGAGGTATACTGAATCCGATACTAGATGCTTGGATGTGCCGAGGCACCAGGTCGATTTTCGTTGTTTAAATTAAATTTAACGTGCCTTTTTTTATCGTGTACTTTCGGAAGTTCTATATCGTGTCGATGTTATCAATATTATCAATTTTAAATTACTCTGTTTTGGGGCCTTTGGCCACCTCCATTCGTTTGCTTCACGAGCTTATGTCGAAACTTAATCAAAAGTAACCCTTGTTTAGTTATGCGAAACTACGTCAGGCAGATCACTGGGGAGCTGAGGATCAGGGTCAAAGTCCATTGCGGTGAAGTCCTTTCCATTCTCGAGTTATCTAAAGGGAGTGCTGCCGACAACGGCTAGCCCTTTTTAATATTATATTATTTCATTTGTTATAGTTCATTGCAAGCCTGCCCCGCGAAGGGAAAAACAAGATTTATTATAATTAACTGTAGATAAAATAATAAACGATGGCAGCAATGCGTGTAGTATAGTGAAAGCAGACCCACCACTGCTGTCGGTGAATCATGATAAAGAAACAGATCACTGAGTAAAAAAACATTCGTTAGTAATGAATCCCACAACGAATGTTTAGAGATGATCTGTCGAAATATCTATAAAAGTTGTATAAAAAGCACGTACTCGACCTATACCTTGTGTTATACCTATTTCGTTATCGCGTGCTATTCCTGTTGTCATACCTATTCGTTATCATATACCTACGGTATCACATCGTTATCATTTTTTTACCCTCCCATCGAACATATCTTGTGAGTGTATGTATTTTTTTTTTTTTTTTTTACAAACTACTCGTATTATTATTATGCATTCCAAATAATATTTATTTTTTTTCAAAACATAACATTAGCTATCGTTAGCGTAAATAATATTGTTTTAATGTTATTTTGTCTCCGCGCGCGCTCGCGCTCTCGTTACCCCGCCGACCCACTACCCACATCCCGCCACTCGCCGCTCCGGCTAAATATTACCTATACAACAAAATATTATTTTATGTACATCATCGTAAAAACGAAACGGTTATCAGCAACGTCGACAGTCGCGGAGCCGTACACCCCTGCAAGAGCTAGTGTTTCCCCGCCCGCCAAAGCTAATAGGCGACCGCCAGCGAGCGCATGTCGTATTTCCCAGAATGTCGGCGGCTGCCGATACAAAGGTCGTGATCACGCCGTTACACGATTGCGTCTTCTCCGTGCGCGTTACCGCGCCGGTCGCGTAACCCAAACCACTCCGCACTATCCTGTACACCCTGTTCGTCTACATCGAAATTATAAACGCCTGCGCAAGGATATTATACGTATTTGCGTAGATATTGGATAATCGTCGACCGTTTTCCTGTTAGCTCGTGTATAGATTTTCGTCAACGGCAATATATGATTGTTATGACTTATAACCGCTGCTACCGTCGACCAACGGGCGCACAGACGCCGACAATAACGACAACACAATCGTTAATTATGCGCGCGCGCGCACACGCGTGTACTTCGTTATCCGTCATCGATGACAATCGAAACATACGACAGTTTACGGCCGTTCGCGGAAACGCACTGGTGAACACTGTATATAAATCGATTGTTAACAATCTGCCATTTCGATTGTTACTTACTTCCGATAGTCGATTGTTATTATTTATCCGTGACCACAACGATGGGACGATCGATCGTCGTTAGTAATTCTTCTACAATCCGCGCATAGTCTTCCAGTTATCTCTCCGCTCTCGTGTAATTTTTCTTTGTCATTTTTATCAATGTGTTATTATTTGTCATAATTATTTACTTGTTTTTTTTTTTTTTTTTTTTTAATTCGTTAATTTGTATATCGTTTATTAAATAATAATACTTTCGAATGTACTTTCGTCGGTCGCGTTTAAAAATTTTTCTGCTAAACATAATATGTTGCATCAAGCTAAAACACACCATGGTATTAAATTTCAATGTACTCTATGTCTGAAAATATTTACGCGTAATGAAACCCGTGCCGAACACGTTAAAATTATTCATCGTGATTGAAGAGTCGCCCCGCCGACTATTATCACGTAGGCCGGACTATCGAATACCGTCGCCGGACAATCGAATGAACGTTCGACAGTGTTATGGACTACCAACGAAGAAAATGAGCTGTTTATGGAATTCGATAAAGGTATTCGTGACAATGAAGGTAAGATTTCTTTTATTATGCCACACCATATAGGAAATAACGCGGGAGTTAGATTTAATTTTTTTTTCTTTCCGTTTCCCGTAGGTCGGAAACGCACACTCAAAGAGGATATCGCCGATAAAGTAAAAAAAGCAAAGATGGATCTAGTGAAAACACCGAGATTTATCGAAATCGATTCGGCATTCTCCCGTATTTGGCATTCTCAAAATCTCGACCATATCAACAACTACAAACACTCAAATCCACACTTATAGACCTCCTAAAATCTATCATTGTAATCAATCCAACGTACAATAAGCCGCAAGTTAAAAATTCCGCCGTGAATAAAACGTTCAAGACCTCAGCCAGGCCAATTTTTATAGATAGCGAGATAGGAAATATAGTAGAAGAAAAATTCGTGAAATTATTGACAGAACGAGACGTTTACCAAGGACCAGGAATTGGATTCTCCCTTCAGCATATCGACGGACTATTATTAGGAATATATAAATTCCAGCCGATGAGCGGTTTATCGTATATCCCGGTACCTGCTGACATATAAAACAAACGGGTCGTTATCAACCTACAGAATATAGACGAAGAATGCTTTAAATGGACGGTTTTGGCAAAACACATTACGGCTATAAACAGAAAACGAGTAAACGAAAAATACGTGAAACACGAGACGAAGTACGATTTTAGCGGAATATCTTTCCCGACACCACTGACGGAATTAAAAAAATTCGAGAAAAATATTTTGAACGTGTCTTAAATGTTTACGCATTGAAGAAAGAGGAAAAAAAAATTAAAATAACCGTGCCTACCTTTTTTCCACTGAAAGTAGTCGATAATGAGAAGGAGGACCATTTCGACCTGCTGCTGATAACCGAAAATGAAAAATTGCACTATACCTACATCTCTAATTTTTCGCGTATCGTCGGACCACAGAAAACTGCACATGAACACGCACTAGTTTTCAGTAAACGCTGTTTCACTATGTTCGTTAACAGACCGAGGACAAAGCTAAGTGGGCAAGCAGCACTCGAATAATACAAAAAAAACCGATATTGCCCGTAATGTCGGAACCCGGGTTGATATTAAAATTCGAAGCCTGGGGAAAAACTCAAAGGCACCTCATCGTGATATACGCCGATTTCGAGGCGATTTTGGAGAAAACAAACGAGAAGAAAGAAAGAAATACAACGATAATCCAAAACCACTGAGTGATGAGTTACAGGATTTATGTGAAGGCGGAAGACGACGTACTTACAGAGCTATTAAACGAATTTGACATACCAACTGAGCCGAAAATATACAGGACAGAAGACGAACCGGAAGTGGTGAAACATTCCACAATGGCTAAAATTTTAGTAGCGTCTAAAATAATCTGGGAAGAGTTGATTTAGATATTATATTAATTAATTAATAATTATTATATTAATCTAATATTAGATATTATTAAAAAATATGGGAAGAATGCACAATGGCGCACAAACGCGCGTTGGAAGCACTTGACAGAAAAATGAATGATCTGCGCAATGACTCTAGATGTTTTGGAGGTGCAATGATTTTACTGTCTGGTGATTTCCGCCAAACACTGCCAGTCATTCCAAAATCGACTGCTGCCGAAAAAATAAACGCTTGCCACAAATCATCAAATCTGTGGTGCTATGTGAAGAAACTTCAGCTGTCAGCAAACGTAAGAGTTGCATTGCTGAACGATCCATTGGCTCAAGATTTATCCAAACAATTGCAGACTATCGGTAATAGCCGTGTTCCTGTCAACGAATCGAGCAGGGGCGTCACTTGGGAGATGACAGGGTGTGCGGTTGCATCCCTTACTTTTAGTATAGTCCAGATTGGCTTGCTGAAATATTGCACCATTATTTATGTAATTAAAATTAAATTGTATTTCATAATAACTAAATTGTTATTTTTCTGTCAATCATGTTTGCAAATTACGCGAGTTAATCAACAGGTACCAATTAGTTGAATAAACAATAAATTGACTTATCTATAAGCGTTGCTTGACCACAAGTTGAATTATTAGAATATTTGTTCATGGTAGACGTACATATATTCTAAACTTATAAATCACCAGAAAGTGCATATTTAAAATATAGGTATAGTAATTTTTTTTTCTGTGCATTTCGTTTGTACGAAAGTTATGGAAGAAAGAAATGGAATATAAATAACAAATTATAAATGATTTTACTAATCGGTTTTCACATTAAATTTATCAATTATTTATTATCTGTTAGTTTTTAAATCACTTTTTACTATTTTTGTTGGTCCATGGTCAATGGAAAAATTTAAAGCAGGATAATGTGCATAATTATATCTGTTATTATACGGTCTGGTGAAATTTAAAAATGGCTTGTTTGAAACCTCGCACCGGAATGATGACCCCACCACTGGCAGTGACACCATCGACGACCCGTAAACATATCGATATTCTGAACACAATATGGCATTTCCGCATGCGAACTATTGGATTGGACCAATCAAAATCAGATGAGTGGAGGTGGGGGGGAGGAATGCTTCTTAAGTGCTGAAACGGATATCAGAATGTTTACAATATGCGAACGGGAATAGAGCGACGCCATATTAGAATAATTTATACAAGACGACAAGTGACTGATATTATAGTACATTATAGTACCGAATACGTAATTGTTTCGCGAGCATTATCTGAAGCTCGGAACTGATATTATTATTATTATTATGTTTTATTATGTTTTCTCGTATAGAAAATGAGAAATAATAAATTATATTTAACGCGTATAAATTACCGGCTTAATATCTGTACGGCGCGGCGGCGGTACATCCACGACGCCGACGACGAGTATTAATTATTATTATAATAATATTATTATCGTGCCGTCCCTGACGGATAATATTTTTTATTCAGACGACATAATATTATTACTGCCGTTAAGACGCGCTCGAAAACCGTTTTTACGCAGCGATAAATTCCGACCGCGTGTCCGAATAATACTATTATTATACAATAATATCGTTACGAATATTATTCGTCGGCGACTTAGCACGCAAAAATGTGTTTATATAATATTTATCTTCACTCGCGGCGACCTTCAGGATTTCGAATGTATATTATTCGCGTGTATCGTAATACTGTTATCATAAAATATTGTTATTGTCATCATAGTACAATATCATGCCGCGTAAATTATAGTTATTAAATACTATGATTGCATAACGAGCGATGATATTATAACGGCACTAAATTATTATGAATTTTTAAAAAAAGTCGCGTCATCATAGTGCCGCCTAATATTATACATACATATACTCGTATAGGTATATAACGTTATAAAATCATGAAAAAAAAATTGATTTATGTACGAAATCCCACGTTCACCCATCGACAACCGTAAGATGGCTTATCCGACGACCATCAATATGAATTTAGCAAACATCAGCTGGTGTTAATACCGTAGTGCTTTTAGCGGAAAAAACAAAGACTATGCAGACTAGTTTTACCCATTTCTACAAGTTACATTTATGAAAACTTGCGTTGTAAATTTATGGAACCTTTTAATCATAGGTACACATTATAGAACTCTTAATATTACACTATTATGTCTATGGCTTAAACAACCGTGAGAGTTACGACACTATTTTGTCCACATGAAGCGCTACTATAATAAATATAGTGAGATTCACATTATAATCCTTCTTATCACAAGTCGATGGGTGACCATACTATCTTAAATCGTAGTAGGAAGTGACTTTTTTTATCAAATTTGATAAGAACATTCGGTGGCGCTCAATGCTGTGATCAAATTTAGTTTATATTATATTGAATGGTCGTCGTGATGTCGTACAACCATAGTACCTATTTCCGTGTATTACAATAATGTTTGTACAACAATTAAAAATATAAAACAACTAGTAACCTACAGATATAACCTATAGATAACCTATAGTAACCTATAGGGGTGAGCGGGGTTAGTTGATACAATTTTGATATTTTTATTTTTATCATTTTCATAATGGTAGTTAGCCCAATTTATGTACATAGCTTAGTAGCTACATAGCTACATTTAGCTACATCTTTGGCATCAGGTTGAAAAAGTTGGACCATTATAACCAACAAAAAATTGCCCAAATGAAGTTTATGTATAATTTACTGGTAAACCATAAACACTATGCTCTCATTTATAACCAGAAAATAGTATGGTATTTTTAGATTTAATGAATTTTATTATTACGAATAATATTGTATTTTTTTTTTATAAGAGTCTTACTGGCAGAGTATTTCAACAATCTTGTTATAGTAAAACCTTTCTAAAAATTTGCCATGATTAGAAATACAAAATGTCTTCATTGTAACAACTTACCCGTGTAACTACAACTAACCTCACTCTCCCCTAGATATAATCGACTCACTCTATGATCGAATTCTAAAGGTCGATGATTATCGTGATAATATTATACACAATTTTATCAATTAAACAGTGAGGTAGGTGTAATATTTGTGTACGTCATGAACTAAAAGATTTATAAATATATTAATATCGTATTATTCAGGTAAGCACGAAACATATTTGGAATTAATCACAGTTATTATTGTTTCTTTATGTCATCACATAATTCGTTGAAAAATTGAACACCTTATGATTTAATACCAATACAATTTTCCCTTATTATAACCCTATTCCGGGTCGTATGAAAACGTTCTGCAAACTGTTTGTTTGATAATCTATCAGTTTTGTATAATTATAGTAATTGAACAAATTGCGTTTCATGAACATGATTTATCATATAAATTGAAACGTTATATAAATCTGTGTAATGTTATCTGTGGTTAAAACCACTTATTTTGTTATCAATACCTATAAATTTAGAATACAATATATGGTGTTAAAATCACTATTGTACCAACTAGCATTACATTGGTTACATTGTAGTTTCATTGATAATCTCGTTTCTAGTCCTTAGTATATTTATGTAATCTTAGTCCGTGTTAAAAAAAATTAAATTACAATTTTACCTAATAACAAAATTATAAGAAGACGTTGAATAGCTTTGCACATTTTACAAAACTAGAATCGGTTCAGCAATGAATCGATTTAAATAACTCTTTGTTGGATACCATTTATTCATTTTACAGAATGGTTTTTAATTGTACAGAACTGATAGCCAATTATAGATAATACGCATGATTGCATGCATTGTTGATGATAATTATTTTTGAACAACTTGGTAAAATTATTTATAATCATCAACAATATTTTTTCGAGAATAATTTGTTTGAAAATCTGCTAAATAAATCGATTCATCAAAAAAAAACTAAGAAAAAATCTTAAATTAAAAGACCGACTACCTAAATTAGATAATTAATACCTAAATTAGATACCTAATACATAAAAACATCGGAATCAAATATAAATTTTCCTAATCGTTATAACCGATGCACTATAATACTTATCAAATAAAATGTTGCTTTAAAACTATAAGTGACTTATATACAATATTATTATTCATAATATTCTTGTAATTCAAAATATTATAATCAATAAATATAAATAAAAAACGACGAGTCAACGATTCTGACAAACGCGAATATTCGGAGATATTTATGTACGATCCAACGAATCTTTTACTGCATTATAATATAATACTCCCTTTTTAAAGGTCATACCTGCAGATGATACTCAAAATAAGATGAAAACCTTAAGTTCGATATTACCATAGTTAGATTCAAAACAGCGTGAAAAAAGAGCTTACGGTGTGTATATGCGAAAAACGATATTCCCGGTAGCTGCAGCAATGTGTAGGTACTTGTCTGATTAGCTCAAACGGGTTGCATTATAATATTTTATGCTATATACCCATAAAGTATTATACGAAAAGACACGCAACAAGAATCGTTTATAATATTTCAATCTCGACCAGAAAAAAAAGAACACTGTACGCTGCAGACAATATTATAAAATTAGTAGTCATAATATTATAAATTATAATATATTATTAAAACAAACATTTTTTTTTCAAATCGATCGGACGGTTTAACATTTTAACCAGATTATTTTATTAAATATTACATTATTATTTCAAAAATGATGATTACAGGCGGAACTGAGAATTAAAATTTAATTTTTACGCTCCCGTTATTATTCGCAATTTTTAGAGCATTGAATAATAATCTCTTTAGGTACTATAATATATATATACGTAAAAACATGTATGAATATTTTATATTATACAAGTACTATTTTATTATTAAATACAAATTGTTCCTACGGAAAAAAAAAATTGTAAAAAAAATTAAAAATAAATAAATTACATTATCGTGTACCTACCGTATAAGTTTTAAAATGTATATTTACAATACATAATATATTGTTTATTAAAAAAAAAAAATGTTTAAAGTAATTTGTTATTTTCAAAATAACAACTACTAATCCGTATTTAAATATTGTCAAGTTGCAATTACCGTTGCAAGTAAGTTTTGTTGACTGCAACCATTTTTTCGGCGTATCGATAAAGGAAATACAAAAGAAAACATGAATGATTGAGCGTTGAAAATACTGCGATGTTGTCATTTGACAAGTTTAACAATTTTAAATTATATTTTACAAAACATATTGTTTTAATCAATACAAATATGATAAATTGTAGTTAAATAAAAAAATACAGATAATTGTGTGATAATTATTTAATAATGGCAATGTGGCATAAAATATTCTATGCTCAACAGTGGCGTAGCGATGAAGATGGAGGGGGGTGTTTTGGCGTTCAAACACCCCCTCCCCCCTCCTTTAACAACATTTATGCCGAAATTAT